CTAGTGGAGTGGGATCAGGAAGGTCAACAATCAGTGGGTCTGGATAGGGACCCAGAGGCCTCTGACGGAGGAAGCCCAGAACTGGGCTCCGGGCGAACCGAACAATAAGCAGAGCGACGAGGACTGCGTGGAGATCTACATCCGGAGACACAAGGACGCCGGCAAGTGGAACGACGAGCGGTGCAGCAAGAAGAAGCTGGCCTTGTGCTACACAGGTGCGGCCGGGGTGGCGCGGGCAGTCTCGGCATCTCGCCGAGTCCCTGGCGGTCTGCGGGAACGGGTCCCTGTGGTGGTTTTATGTCCTAAAAGATATGGTTTTAAGGCATTCTGGTTGCCTGGTAAAGAATCCCTTTTTGCTTCTTTGTGTGACCGTAGGCAAGAATACATACACACACACACACACACACACACACACACACACACACACGCACACACGCACACACGCACACACATACACACACACATATAGCCCTATACATACATAGTGTGCATACACACACACAGGGCAGGGGGATGAGCTTTAGAGCTTGTGATAAAGTGAATTCTCTGTTCTTGATGCCAGTTGCAGCTGTACCCTTGGACATCTGTATGTTCACATCAAGGTTTAAAACAAGTTAAGCCTAGAACTCAGCTTTGGTGTCCCGTAACATTCAGTTACAGTCTCTGGCACTCCGTATCACTGGTGACATCTCTGTTGCACACCGTTGATCCTAATCTCAAAGGAACTTACCTTCCTTGTCATGAATTATGTTTTCCACAGCTGCCTGTACCCAAACATCCTGCAGCGGCCATGGTGAGTGTGTGGAGACCATCAACAACTACACCTGCCGGTGCCACCCCGGCTTCAGTGGACTCAGGTGTGAGCAAGGTAAGTCTCCATCTCACCTCTTCCTTCCCTTGAGGTGGTAGCACCATCCCGTGTCCTAGCTGGCTGTGGCGTCAGCTCTGCATGTCTTCCCTTTCCCTGGGGCACATGGTGACACCAGGCTGGTGGTTAAGGGCTGAGCCTCTGGGATTCAAATCCCAGAGTCACCACTTAGCAGTCATGGCGCCTCGACTGGGTGGCTGAACCCACTGAGTCCCAGCTTCCTCCCTGTAAATGAGGATGACGACGGTCCTAACCTCATAGGCCTGGGGTTAGGGTGATGTGAACAAATGCAGACACACCGTTTCCGCGGGGCCTGGCACACAGCAAGCGTCCGATGCGCAGTGGTCGTAGATCCCAGTCTCCGTCCCACTTTACGGGAGCGGAGAGAGGCCCAGGACTGACTTGCATTCCCTTTTCAGTTGTGACCTGTCAGGAGCGGGAAGCCCCCGCGCACGGGAGCCTGGTTTGCACCCACCCTTTGGGGCGCTTCAGCTACAACTCCTCCTGCACCGTCAGCTGTCAGGAGGGCTACCTGCCCAGCAGTACCGAGGCCACATGGTGCACGTCCTCGGGGGCCTGGAGCGCCTCCCCTCCAGCCTGCAACGGTAAGTCTCCCGGCATGGTGGCACGCGGAGCGCTCCCCGGGTCTTCCCTCCTGCCGCAGCTTCTCCTAAAATCCAATGTGGAATGTTTCCAAACTCTAGGGAGAGCTCTCTTTGTCGTTTTTAATCAGACTCATCCTCTCAGCCAGTACAAATGGCCGAGATGGCTCTTGCTCAGTGTGAGAGAGGTTTGTTGTCCGTTTGAAGTGGGTGTTTCTGGTGATTTATAGAACATGTGACACAGCAGAACCACACTCCAGAACTCTTAATGACTCTCACCTTCTTTCCCTGTTTAACGTCAACAATGGACAAATTTAGGACCATGATAATCAAGTAGTCTCTATATTTTTTCTCTCAGTCTTATCTTTCTAGGCCAGAGACGAAAAACTCTTTCCTCCAGGGCCTACTGGACTAAAATAAATGAGCATCCTTATCATGACATTAAGTTGTGATAAAAGTCATAAATCCTGATTTAGTATCTGTTCTTTCCCTTCGTTTTTGCCTTATATAAAATAGTTGAGAGATCTGACGAGAGATTTGATCAAATAGATCAGAGGTCCCTCAGCATAGTCAATGTAAAAATCAGAAAGATGAACAAAGCATAAAAGCATTATTGCGGGTGTACGTGTCCCCAAGAATAATGTGGGACTTCCAGGATCCCCGCTTCAAAGGCAGCTTCCTTGCTCTGGTATAAGCTCCAGTGCAACAGGAAGTGACATATCGTTCTTCTGTGAAATTCATGGTGCTCTTCTGAATCCCCAGTGGTTGAGTGTGATGCTTTGACGCGCCCTGCCAATGGACGCGTGGAATGTTCTCAAAGCCCCGGGAGCTCCCCATGGAACACGACCTGTGCATTTCACTGTGAGGAAGGATTTGAACTACTGGGGCCCCAGCGCCTCCAGTGCACCTCGTCTGGGAACTGGGACAACGAGAAGCCAACGTGTAAAGGTAGAGCTACTCCATGTCCAGGTTCACTGCGAACATTCTCTTCCTCACCCTGTGCTTGAAGTGGCCAAGCCAGACCCGCTCATGTAAATGGGTGCCTGTGTTACAGCTGTGACGTGCGGTGCCATCGGCCATCCTCAGAATGGCTCTGTGAGCTGCAGCCATTCCCCTGCCGGAGAGCTCACCTTCGGGTCATCCTGTGACTTCACCTGCGAGGAAGGCTTCCGGTTGCAGGGACCGGCCCAGGTTGAATGCACAGCCCAAGGGCAATGGACACAGCGAGCGCCAGTGTGTGAAGGTAAGCCCACACAGGTCACCCCTGTACACGCCCCCTTGCCTCACGCGCAGCGACCCCCAGGCCGAGCAGCTAGCGTGAAACCAGACGCAGGCTTGAACTGCGGAAATCAGATCTGATGGGCAACATTCATCTTATACCTTGGGATTCATATAAAAGAAACAATGCTCATGCAGGGAAAGAATCGCATGTAATGAGAAAGGGTGCTTTGCTGGTTTTGTCACGGTGCTGTGCCGATGCAACTTGACAGGCACTGGCGTGGAGTAAGCAGATGCCTTAATCTAAGGGGAGTCACACTGGAAAATTTCAGAAGGAGGATCGGGAGAACATGACTTGATGCTATAACTTTTGTCAAACCTTTCTTCTAAAATTGCTCATATCTAGCAGTGATGAGACTGCTTCAAGCGTGGTGTCGGCCATAGAGACACCCTTAATACATAAACACCAAAATCTAATTCACTTTAAACACCAAAATCTAATTCACTTTAAAGCGAGAGCAAAAACATTAAAAATAAGCGATATTCTTATAGCCAAATATAGCACGGAATAATTTCCAGTGGCAAAAAGTCACAAGACCAAAACCAAGCTGCAGAACAGACAAGTTTTATGTGGCCGCCTTCCTCCCCATCCTCCCCTCTCCCTGGCATTGTCTGTGAGCATCTGGGACCCATCGTGGTTCTCTGACTACACAAAGTTTTTCTCTTGGCCCTAACTTCCTTTGCATGCCAAACAGTGCTCAGAAATCCCTAGTCCTCTAATTAGTGCCATTGTCGACAAAGGGATTGCAATTCAAAGAACACCCAGCCATCTTCCCCGTTGTCCAGGGGGTCACAGTCTTGAGTTCTCCGAGTGTTGCTTTGTCCAGAACGAACTGGGTTCACTCAAATCCCAAGGACTGTCCTGTTCCACTGCAATATTTTCTGACCGTCGTTTTGGTGTCTCAGCTTTCCAGTGCAAAGCCTTGTCCAGCCCAGAGAGAGGCTACGTGAATTGTCTTCCCAGTGCTTCTGGAAGTTTCCAAAGCGGGTCCAGCTGCGAGTTCTCCTGTGAGCAGGGATTTGTGTTGAAGGGATCTGCCAGGCTCCAGTGTGGTCCCACAGGGAAGTGGGACAGTGAGGAGCCCACATGTGAAGGTACATGTTTTGTTTTTAGTTTAAGATAAAGCTCTGGACGAGCCAGGGACCTGGTTACTTGGAGAAACTTGTTGCTGCCTGATATAAACAAACTTCTAACGACCCTGCTCGTGTCCTCCAGCTGTGAAATGTGACACTGTCCGCCAGCCCCAGAGTGGCCTGGTGAGGTGTACCCACGCCCCTGCTGGGAGATTCACCTACGGGACCTCCTGTGCCTTCAGCTGTGAGGAAGGCTTCCAACTACATGGGGCAGCTCAGCTCGAGTGCACAGCTCAGGGACAGTGGACACAGGAGGTCCCCTCCTGCCAAGGTAAGACTCTGTTCAGACTTTAAGGGGCACAGGGCAAGTATGATTCTCTGGACCTAGATGCCCCAAGGGGCCTGATCCTAATTTCCACATGCTGAACACTAAGCAGTGCTCAGTTACGTCTGCTGCCGACTCTTCGGCCAGGCTTCGCAGTCCCCGGTGCTCTCCCTAACCTCTGCCCGTGTGCCGCTCGCTTGCAGTGGTGCAGTGTCCGGGCCTGGACTTTCCTGGGCCAGCCGACATGAACTGCAGCGGGGCGCCAGTGTTCGGTGCGCTGTGTGTGTTTGCGTGCCCGGAAGGATGGACGCTCAATGGCTCGGCAGCTCTGACGTGTGGTGCCACGGGACACTGGTCTGGGGTGCCGCCTACCTGCGAAGGTGAGGCATTGCTTGGTGGTGGTCTGGGGGACTAGAGAGGAAAAAGGGGGTTATCTGGCGACCATGATGAACTGGTCATTCTGTCCAAACCAGAAAGGTCAGAGGGTCGCCCAGGGGAGCAAACTGGTGAATGTTTAATTTTATGGGGACAGAGAGAAAACAGAAGAGGCGACGTGTTGATAGAATGGGTAAACTGTGATAATTGGGAAAAGGAGAGCTAGGGCGGAAAGGAAAATGAGAGAATGAGAAAGTGGGGAGAGGGGAGGGGGGATGAGCAGTGCTCACCGAGGTGCAGTGTGGGGCCTGGCAGCGGGGACACCAGCTTGTGAAAGCCGGGGTAGATCTCGAAGGCCTTTAATGCCCCGTCTCCCTCTCCCGTGCTGAACCACATGGCTCTCTGCTCTGTGCACGGTACTCAGTGCGCAAGGGAAAGGGCCGGTGACCCGCACGGGAGGACTGCAGACAGTCCCTTCTTGTGACGGTCCTCCCCCATTTCCTTAGCTCCCACGACGTCCAACGTCCCCTTGGCAGTCGGACTCTCGGTCGCTGGAACCTCCCTCCTGACGTTAGCATCGTTTCTCTTCTGGCTTCTGAAACGTCTTCGGAAGAAAGGTGAGGGAGATGATGAATGTACTCCAAAAGCGTTTTTGAAAAATATATCTTTTCTGTCATCCATGAGTCAGATTTAAATCTCTCGCAGGTTTAACAGTAGTTAGAATCTAGTTACTAGATAAATGATAAGCTGCAGCACAACCACACAGAAGTCTTAGGGAAGGGGTTTACCGCGCAGCTCGGAGCTGCCAGGAAATGCCATTCACACTGAAGTCTCCGATGCTCAAAGAGCTGGCGACGAGCCTGCCATGGCCAGTGCTCCCAGCGGAATGGACAAGATGTTTCCAGGAAACTTATTTAGAATGCAGGCTTAAGTCAGGGAGTGTCTTGTAGGAAACAAGCAAACACATCTCGCCACATTCATGGTTTGGCCTACAGAGTGTTTTTGAATTAAGTTCTGATGTTGACAAGATAGGAAATTCCACACTGAGTCCAGATTGACTTGTCATGAAATTGATGGCTGAACCTGGCAGGCTGAGCCTGGGGCTATTTGCTTGTGGTAGAAAATGCTGGGCCCCTCGGCTGAGCCACCGCTTTGCATTCCGCCCCGGGTGCCACCAAGCTGTGCTGGTGCCCTGATTACTACAGGGGCCCTGAAGCATTGAGTTTGCAACTCCTGATGATGCAGAGTCCTCCTGTTTCTGGATCTGATATGTCCTTGAAGTCGTTTAGTCCAAATTAATGGTTTTCTTTTTCTTGCAGCAAAGAAATTTATTCTTGCCAGGTAAGCTGCATTCTTGTACATAGCATGCCATCCAAACTCTACAACTTTTTTCTCGCTTCGTGTTGGAAAACAGTTCTTGACTGAGTGTTCTCGTGTATTCCACAGCAGTTGCCAAAGCCTTCAATCAGATGGGTCCTACCAAACGCCTTCTGAGTCCATTTAAGTCCCAGGGCATCGGGTAAGCCTGGAGAATCGCATGTGGCTTTGAGAGAAGATACTCTTTTCATGTGTTCTGTTGCTCCTTAACCCTCCAAGTCTGCTGCTTTTGGGTTGGGGGTGGGGAATCACCACCTTCCCTGTATTTTATGAAATGCTGCTTCATTTGTTTATAGAAGGAGGGGAAGGAGCAAGGGTCTGGCCTCTATGGACTCATTTCACTTGTGAAGGTTAACGATGACGCTGATAGCTAACCCTTACACAGCACTCACTGCGTCTAGGAACTGTTCTCAGTTAGGGATTCTACGAGACAGCGCTGTTACTATATTTATTATTATACAGATGAAGAGAAAGAGGCACAGGGAAGTTAGGCCACTTGCTTAAACTCTCCAAGCCAGTAAGCGGTGTGACTGGGAGTCCAGGCTAGGCGGCCGGGTTCCAGAATCTGTGGTCTGAGCTACTCTGCTCTGCTTTCTGGGAATTTGGAAGGTCGAGTCCCCTCCAAATAGATATTTTTAATTAATACTTTTGTGTGTGTGCAGTTTTAGGTTTACAGAAATAGTGAGCAGGAAGTACAGACTTGCAACCTCCCCCTGGCCCCTGCCCTCCTTTGCTTCCACCATTGACATCCTGCATCACTATGGCATTTTGTCACAGCCGACGGGCCGGTGTTGACAGTTATTATTAACTGAAGTCCGCCGTTTACACTAGGGCTCACTCTCGGTTTTGACAATGTACAATGCCATGAATCCACCATTACAGTACCATACAGAATAGTTTCACTGCCCTAACTGAATAGGACTTTGGTGTTTACATTCAGACTAACCAGTACGAGTACACACGGTGAACAGAAGATGAGATTTGCTGTTGCTATTGGCATGCAGAACATCAAGTGTCCTGATGGCACGCGCTCTTATACTTGCAGGACACAAGCAAACGAGGAAATTAGGGAGACACCTGAAGATGGTGGAGACAGCGAGCAATCCTTGCATCTCAGGCCCTTACCTCCTGCACTTTTACGGCTGGGACCGCAGTGCCCAAGAGGACTTCAAAGGACCAAAGCCCAGTGCGCCAGGCCTGCCCACCACCAGAAAGACTCAGTCTTCTCTTTCCTATTCTCAGGATCTGGGAAGTGCTGGATCCTGGAGGGAAATAACCTTCCCTCCCAGGCAAAACTGAAGAGACCAAGACTCTGGAATCTCAGAATTCCTTCTCTAGTTCTTCCTTGCTCATCTTGAAATCTCGGTGGAGAAACACAGTATTTTGTGACATTGTTTCTTCCTTTTACCCATCACAATGTTTCAGCTGCTGATTATAAAGTTGTCATAGAGTTAAGTAGTAACTGTCAAGAGCTTAGAGAAAACAAATTGGCCAATGATATTCTATTACTGACTTGGAAAAAAACAACAAACTTTTAATGCCCATAGTTGAGTGCACGGGAAAGTGTGTAAATAGTGCAAAACCTACTGAATACTCTCATGAGGAGTTCTAAGCACAGTCTTAATCACTTTTATCCCTGTGGGATTCACTCTTTTTAAAGCATCCTAGGAGACTGTGTTCTTTTTACTTGCACTGAATATATATTCCATAATTCTTAAATCAGTACATGTGATGTAGGGGCTTTAAAATATGTAAATGTTAGGACTATGATTGGGTAATAGTTTCTTATCCTAGATCACCACCTCTCTGCTTATTATCAAAGACCAATGTTACATCTGTAGTAAATATATTTCAAGAAAAGGGCAAATACTGCTCCCTAGCAATGAATAATGGTAAGCAGTGTAAAATTTTGAATATTTTACTACAGTTGCTTTTAAAAACACAAATAGGATCAGGAGAGTAAAAGCTAAATGGCACACACCTGTACACTGTCAGGGTTTTTTTTTTTTTTCAGAAATGTGTGGTTTCCATGACGAATACCTCCATGAGGCCACATGTTCTGATTTGACAGAAGCGTAAAGGCAGATAGATGAAGGCACAGTGTTGTGAATGTGGCTGTTGAAAGAACACGTAGAAATGCAATGTGCTCCACGCTCCTGAGAAGATGTTGAACAGAGAATTCTTGCACAGCACGTCAGACTCTGAATCTGTGGCAGGGTCATTCATGTAAAGGCTTCATTTCGTGAATTTTTATGAAGCGAAGATGTCTAATAATTATTTCTTAATTGTTTTATGGTTTGTTAGGCTGTTCTTGAAGAGAGAAAAGCCTGTATGAGCAAGTATTTACGCTTTTTTATAAGGGAGTTTAAAATTCCTAAGGAATCCAATTATTGGTTGATGACTGGCAATGAGAAATTCTCAGTCAGTAATTGCCAAAGCTGCTCCATCCTCACAGGGTGTGAGGATCAAAACTCTCCCATACTTCCATCGACTTAGCATGTATTAAAAAAGCAAAGTTTCAGAGAAGCATTGGCTGCGTAGTGGCAAGGGCAAAGCCAAAAGTAAACAGAGAGAGATGATAAGCATCAGAACAGCAGAGGTTTCTAAGGGTCAAAAAAACTCTGAGAAACGAGAGAGAAAAAAACAGCTTTTGTGATCAGGCTACCTATGGAATGATGAATTACCATTATCTCCAACTGTTCAAATGTTGTAAATATTTATATGTACTGCTGTATGAAATATAAATGTGATCTGTGTTTGGGTTTTATAAAGTATTTTAAATTATGATTTAGAATATTTTACAATTTTTAAAGTATGTATTTATTTAAGCTTATGTCATACGTATTTGACATGACACTATAAAGTTTGATAATAAACACGTTTATATTTAGCTCTGTGCATGGGCTCTTTCTTAAAAATCCTATTTTATTTAGATAAAACACATACTGTAAAATTTGCCCCTTTTAAGTGTACGATCCAATAGTTTTTGGTATATCCGCAAGATTCTAGCAACCATCAATATTATCTAACCCCAGAACGTATCTACTACCATGAAAGGAAACCCAATACCCATCAACAGTCATTGAGCACCTCCTCTCCCCTACTGCCTGATAACCACAAATCTACTTTTTGCCTCTATGGATTTGCCTATTCTGGACGTTTCATATAAATAGAATCATACACTATATGGCCTTCTGTGTCTGGCTTCTTTCACTTAGGGTAGTGTTGCGAGGTTAATTCATTTGTAGCATGTATCTGTACTTCATTACTTTTTATGGCTGCATAATACTCTATGGTATAGATATGTCACATTTTCTTTGTCCATTCATCAGTTGATGAACATTTGGGTTGTTTCTGCATTTTGGCTATTATGAATAATGCTGCCACGAACTTTCAGGTACAGGTTTTTGAGTAGACTTATGTTTTCAATTCTCTTGGTCTATACCTAGAAGTGCAGTTTTGTTGGGTCATACGATAAGTCCATGTTTCATTGTTTGAGGAACAGCCAAACTGTTCTCCGTGAGGACTGCTGCATTTTACAACCCTACCAGCAACTCGTGAAGGCTCCAGTTTCTCCACATTCGGTCCAATGCTTGATGCTGTCTGTCTTTTTTACTATCACCGTACTAGTGGGTATGAAGTGGTGTACATATAGGCCCTTGCGTCAGTACTGCACAGTTGTCTAAAAAATATTAATAATCTTAAAAAATGACTAGGCTTAATGAAACGAAGTCCTTACCCTGCGGTCTTTGTCTCCTGCCATTCTCAATTCTAGGTGGCTCAAGGTAAGCAATAAACCTTCATTTACTCTCCAGACTGTTTTCTCCAGAATTAGAGTAGTTTTCTTTGCCACCCCAAATATGTGTCATCTCTCTTCTGGAATAGTGTCAATCCGCGAGGCCTGGTGAGTACTAAACTAAAAACCACTTTGAGAATCTCGTTACCAAAGAATCAAAATATCTGAAATGTCTTAAAAAAAAAAAGAAAAAGAAAAACCATGGTTTTATATTTAGCTTGGTTATCCAGGCTAAAAAACATTGTGGCTATGACTGTCATCTGATAAAGTTGGTTTCACTTTGATTTTATATTTCATCTTAGCTCAAAGTATTACTTAAAAAAATTAAAGAAAAATGAAAAACAAGGATGGATGCCACTAATTAGACCTGTTTTCGTGCAGGACTGAAATGGGAACACGCTTGAGATATCAGCTCAAAATGCAGAGAGCATGACTGTTGGCTTCCCTGGGTCTAAAATGAGAAAATAAATTGAACAAACTAAATTTATTTGGAAGGAATAGAGGTGCCCACGTCAGACGGAGATGGGCAAAGGGAAAGCACAGAAGTGAGATGCGGAGCGGTCCTCCGTGTTAGCAGATCAAACGAGAGCTTTCGTAGGAGGAAGCGGAACTCCATCCACGCCAGAGTTAGACCTACGCGTCCACGCAGCTCCACGACCCTGTCCAGACCAAGCTACCATGGCCGCCTCCCTTCCTTACAGCTGGAATACAAGCCCCTCTGATCGCCTTTCATCTCCCAGACAGTTCGCCCAGGTTGCCGCCTCCTGCCCCAGCCTTGCTTCCCTTCCCAAACTCTTCCTTGCCATCCTCTGGAACTCCTGGTCCACGGCCAGCAAGCCCCGCGTTGTCCCGCAGGTCCTCTCCCAAACCTCTTCTGCCTCCTTGTGGTAACAGCAGACCGGGCCGAGAACACCACTTCCCCCCGCGGACCTCTCGAGGTGACAGTTTACCCACCCCACACACCTCAGGGCTGAAAGGCGGAGTGGCCTCCTCCTTTATGATGACTTCCTCTCCCTGATCTTTGTTCTTCCAGCCTCTTAAAAAAGGAACAGAAGAGATAAAATAACCCCGTTTCTTTGGAGCTCATGACACTACGATGTACCATCTTCTCCCTGTCCTCATTGGTGGCCTGATGACCTGGGCACCAGCTTCTAGTCTTCCTCCTCCTTCAAGCCCCTCCGGTGACCCTATATGACCCTACCACTCAGGGCCCGCAGCCCAGTCCCGTCTGCACGCTCAGCTTCCCCTCGCTCAGCTCGAGCGGCCCTCTGCCCTGCACATAGCCTCAACCTCGATGTCGCCAGAACTGCACCAACTCTAAAATCACATGACCAAGTATCATGCTTTAACCGCAGTCTCCTATTCTTGCAGGTTTATTGCTCGAGTATCTCATCACGAAGCTTCTTAACCCCACCTCGCTGAACCTCCAGGTCCTTTATTTCTAACCCCCGGCGTTTTCCTTCTTTATTTCCATTCTCTCCTGCCAACCACGCTTTAAACCGAGCCTTCCGAGTCAGCTCATCCTGTCCTCGGAACGGGCCGCTCCGCGGGAGGAGCCGCGTCAGCCTCTGTTCATCCGCTTGCGGATCCCTTCAGTCACATCTGTTGGGGCCCTACTATGTGTCAAGGATATACTACACTCCAGAAACATGGCAATGAACGAGGTACTCTGTCCCTACCTCTGAGGAACTTAGAATCCAGTAGGGAAGACAGATATTAAACAAATAATTACACAAACGATCATTTAATTATAGTTAAAGGAAGAAAAGTACGGGCTGTAGGGCATCAGAGAGGTATCCTAGTCTAAGGGTGACTCCCGGCAGAGGGAGCCGGTGAGCTCAAAGGCACCAAGGAGGCAGACACAGCTCCCCACGCGGACAGGGTGCAGGCCGCCGGGGCGTGGTGTGAAGTGAGGACCAGGTTCTGCGTGGCTCGTGGGCTGTGTTGATGACTTGGAACCACAGTACATCCCAGCAGCAGACTGGGAACCCGCAGACTAATGGGTTTATGGGGATTTTATCAGGTGACCCAGGGCTGGTGACGAGTGTCTATTCTGAGGGCTGTCATTGGGAATGAAACACAGTTATCAAAAGAACTATCGAAAGGATTTGGCACCATTGGGAGATCATGGAGAAGAAAAATTTTCCTTGGTTATAGCCAAAACCACTATGATCTTATTCTTTTTCTTCTTCCTGTCGTATTGCGACATATGCCTTTTGCAGTAAGATGATTTTACAACCAGCAGCATGACCACATATACGCATATATGAATATAAAAATATTTTAATTTCTCTTGGTTTAGAGTCTTGGGAGAGCAATGTTAAAATTTTGAGGTAGAAGCTATACTTAATGTTAAGGTTTGGCTCAAGTAACTGGAAGGGTGGCGTTATGATTTCCTGAGGTGGCAGAGGCTGTGAGGAGAGTTCTCCGGGTCTGGAGGAGATATTCAGAAGTTCAGTTTGACACATGGAGAATTTAAGAGGCACAGTAAATACATGGAGAGATCGGGAGGCATCTGGCTGGGGACTGGGAACATTCCCAGGGCAGAGGAGTGCTCCCGGCTGGAAATACGAATTTGGGAGTCATCAGGCTTCAGAACTGACTGGCCCAGGTTCCAAACCCCAATGGTGTATCTTACCAGCTATGTGACAAAGGCAACTTTCTTAACCTTTCCGAGACTTTTTTAAATGAGGATATTAATAGTGCCTACTGGGGAGTAGTAGTATTTGATCTTTATAAAGATTAAATACGGAGCATTGAGTTCTATAGCTATTATTGCTTTTGTTATTATCTTTTTAAAAATGCAAATCTGATTATGTCAGTGACTCCTCCTTGCCATTGCCCTCCATCATAGGGGCTCAAATGCAGTCACACTTCACACTCCAGAAATATAAAGGGATTTGTACGCCCCTGAGCCACTTAGGGCAAAAAACTAGAGCTGCTTTGTTCTCTTCAGGCATTGCCACTGACGAGGACCTCCACTAGGGGGTGAGCTAGGAAAGAGGGAGGAAAAGGAACCGAAATTAACGAAGTCTGTTGGTTAGCTCTACTGAAGCTTGACAGACGCCGTAAATGTGACTGAAGTACTGTTTTGATCGTGTGGTCTGATTATTAGGGGCCCTTTACCATGAATAGCCAAGCGTTAGCCTAGTGTTTATCAAAAAGAGAGAGACAGAGACAGAGACATGGAGAGAGGGAGAGACAGAGATATGGATAGAGGAGGGAGTGAAGGAGGGAAGGAGGGGAGGGGAGGAGAGGAGCAGGGAGAGGAGGAGGGAAGGATGGAAAGGGAGGAGGAAGAAAGGAGGAAGGGGCGAATCCCACAAGGCGGCCTCGGTCAGCAGCTCTTTCTCAGGGCAAGTGACAGAGGTCGGAGCAGGAAAGTGGTGGGGAAAGACGAGCAAGAGGAGGCGGAGTAAGTGGGGTGGAGGTGGGAGGAGGATGTGAGAAATGAAAGAAAGCAAGCCCAGCTGGTGACACTCAGCAGCCTGCAGCACAGCACCCCGAGCCTCAGGCCAGGACCTGGACACCCCAGGAGCCGACTCAGGTGAAGCTGCAGAAGAACCGGGAAGGACGCGCGAAGCCATGGTGAGCCCTCCGTCTAAACGTTTCAGACGCTCTGCTAGAACCTCTCTTGGGGCTACAGAGGCAGGTGGCAAAGGACAAGAAGCAACCAATTCCATTTTGGGTTTTTAAAAAGCCGAGAACTAAAATTGCTGAATTAGAGCCTCTTCTCTCAGATGTGCTGAATTCTTCTTGACTTGTGTCTGCTGAGATTCTTGAAGGACTGTCTTGTTGAAATTAGCACTTTTGCAACTAAACGCAACGGCTACTGAGAAGTGATACACTTCAGACAATATGGTTTTAAGGTGTGCAGAAAATCTGTGGTATTGTCGTCTGAGTTGCTCAAAATGTATTTCTTTTTAGTTGAAAAAGATGAATTGCTTTCCTTTGATGTCTGTTTAGCCATCTAATTCTTTTAGGTATTTGAAGCATTAGCTCATCATAATCAAGTGGGAGATTTTAACATTAAATCTAGACATCAATAGTTCATTAAGCAGCAATGAACGCTTTAAAATAACATATACTAAGTATCAGATATTTTCATCTA